TTGTTGGCTACCAGACTGGGTCGTGACTGATGACACCGAATTAGATCGTGCAGGGCTTACAGGCGGTGCTTGGCTCGCATTGGCCTGGGGGGCTGGGCTTGGTTTCGCTGTTGTCGGCGTAGGGAGCGGAACATTATTGGCCGATAACACGGCGGCTGCGTTCTGATGAGCCGCTGATGCTGGCGCAGTGTATGGTTGGCCTAATTCGCCCGGCGAGAATGCAAGCGTAGAACAAAATCCGTCCGACGAACTCATCATCAAGGTCAAGCCATCATTCGACCTATCCAAGTTTAGTTCAGCTGCATCACGTAGACGAGTGTCCGTCATCATCACTCACCAGGTCAGATCGGTGAAAGTAGCAAAGTGCAGATTGCTAACGACGCAGATTGGCGTCTGCTGCTGGGTGTCATACACCAAGACTCCGTCCTGGGTGGCTACCGCATACACGATTCGGTAGGGCAGTGTGAAAACGGGGGCAGGGATTTGGCTCGCAGAGGGACTGTCCCGCTCCGTCGCCTTGGTACCGGTGTTGTTCTTCACCAAATCATTGGCGGCAAGCGTGGACGATGGGGGCTCCATTGACGCGCCATCCTTGGTGGAACTCACCACCGGATCGGGGAGCGAAGAGAACGACTCTTCGATGGACGAGGTGTCTAAGGTGATATGACGAGCAGGCTGAGGAGTCTGCCGCAGGGTATAGAAAATTGGAGAGCACTTGACCGCAACAGATGGTTTCTTATGGCCTGGGAGATGAGAGATAGGCGGCTTGTTGAATCCAGCACGGGTATAGATGTAAACGGTATTGATGATCTCGTCCGTTGTTTTCGTGGAGTCGGTCGCTGACACATGCGACGTCTTGTACTGCCCGGCCGGGGTGAATAGCAAGCTTCCATCAGGAGCAAAGGTTAACCTCCGGAAGAATGAGGTGAAGGTCTCATTCGCATAGATGTTGGCATTCTTGACTCCGAGCCCACCCAATAAACCGGGTGATGGTACCTCGAGCGGTTTGACAGCTGGTAACGGCAGTGATGGCGCCGGAGATGCTGAACGACGGATGGAAGGAGAAGACCCGAATGAGGATCGGCGACTATGCGACACGGGGGGAGGGTCCATCGGCAAGTTGGAGGTCATTGGTGTACCTGGAGTGGACGGAGCGGGAGAAGCGATGGCGGCTGAGCTGGTCGGTGCGGGTTGAGAACGAATCGATAGATCCGGCGGCGCAGGACTGCTTGACGAGATGCGTTTCGCAGGGAGATCCATCTTGAGGAACTTCCCATGGGAAGTGAGGGTAAATTGGCCGTCCTTGGTTTTCAAGCTGTAGATGTGGACCGAGCGGTCGGATGATTGTGTTGCAACAAATTCATTCAGCGGATCCCAGGCCACACCCTGAACGTAGTGCGAGTGCTCAGCGATCTGGCGCACCATTTGGCCTGTCATTCAAACAGTCAGCAGCCCAATTTCATGTGCAACCCACAAACCAAACCCACCCGTTTGAGCGTTGTAGATCCGAGCGATATTGTCCATACTGCCCGTGATAATGAACACCCCGTCGGGCGACCACGCGAGATCATAGATCTCTGCCCCGGAGGAACGGCACATATGCTTCACTCGCCAGGTTTCCTTGTCGTCCGAGCGGTCTTCACCTAAGCCCGGTTGTGATTGCAATTCCGACGGTACCCAGAGTAAGACATTGCCGTCATCCCCGGCAGATGCCAGCATCTCGCCTAGATGAGATTCGAGGAGACACAATCAGCACAGAAAGCGACATTGAGAGGTTGGACCGAGCGTTGCTGCCTACCTTTGGGGCTGAAACGGACGACATTCACAGCTTGGGTATGTTTGACCAGCGTGCTCAGGTAGGACACCTTCCGTTCCTCTCCGGTTGATTCCACTTTCCATAGCTGTGGTTGTGTTATGTTGTCAGACACGGTGTACAGAGTGCCCTCGACGGGGAGTCACGAGTAGGGATGAGGGAGGGCAAATCCAGTTCGAGAGGGGAGGGGATCGTACTCGGACGTTATTGTCACTAGAGAGCGGAGACAAGCGTTAGCAACCTGAATGACAGACCAAAGAAGGGCAAAACGAGAGATCAGACGAACGCACTTTCCAGCAGTGGCTAAGCGACCCTTACCATTGGGGTCGAAATGTACCGAGTAAATAGGAGCATTGTCATCGTGCCACGAGATGAGCAACGGGGTGGCCTTCATGATGAGCACGGATGCTCAATTGGGGCACCCGTTGAGAGATTGGGGGTGGGAGATTGAGGCCCAGGACGACTATATATTGCGGATTTAGATGGGGTGGAAGATTGATTGTATCAAGTAGTAGTATGAGGGGTGGGCGGTGGGGGAAGCTGAAGCAGCAGCAATGAGGAGAATTGTTAGGGCGTGAGAGAGAAGTGCGGAGGGAGAGTTGCGGGCGAGGAAATTCAATGCAAACAAGCTGTCGGAAAGTACAGTACTTGCAGCAGCAGCAGCAGCAGCAGCAGCAGCAGCAGCAACAGCAGTCTCCCGGAGGGATTTAAAGAGGTATGCAATCAGAAGATTGAAAGAAGGGGGTGGAGAGGGAGGGGAAAAGAGAAAGAGGAAGCAAAGAGGAAGCAAAGAGGAGGTCGGATTATTAGACAAGATCAAGAATCTAGTAATTCTAACACTAACACAGTCAATGTTCCTTCCGATTTGACGAAGCGAAAAGTGCAGCAGACGAGAGTGGTGTAGTGTAGTAAAGTAAGTAGTGTAGTGTGAGAGACAGAGAGAGAGCGAGAAAAGCGGAAGTAGTTGTCCGTTGCAGTGGAAGTTGATTGCAGGTTCCAATCAGTGGTCAGTTCAGTGGTGATGTCGTTCATCCCAGCATCCCATCATGGATCCTTTTTCTCTCCCTCGTGTCGCGCCCGGCGAATGACAATCCCCGCGTCCGTCAGCTTCGCGTTCGCCTGCTCCGTCGATCGCGCGTAAAACTGGATCTTCATTTCATTCTTCTTACGGAGATGAAACCCACCGGTCACCTCCGATGTTTAATTCTCTTGCTTCCTCGGTCTATTAATTATTGATCTCTGTGCGCCCGCTTTCAAACCAACGCCTGACCCAGAATACCCTATCAATTAAGCGGTTTGGTTTCTCTTGCGGCATGGCGGCTGGCGATTACTTAACACCACAATCCCTTCCGATTGACAATGGGAACTACCTTGAATTGTGATCTGCATGCGGAAGAAAAGGTATAGGTGGTTGCTACTGTTGTTGAACCGTCTCTCCGGTTACCAGGGGCGTGGAGAAGTTTAGACTTGCTGAATGGCTACCTAGTAGACTAGGTAGCTGCCTCCTTGGCCAGTTCCGGGCATACTAATGCGTCGAGAGAATCATCGCTCCAATTAGTCTTCTGTCGCTGAATAGTGCATGGGGGCGTTGATTGAGCAAAGCAGTCAATATGCGATCCGACCAGGGGAGCTGAGGCTACCGATGGAATATAGCACCACCACCTCTGGGACCCATTGCACTTCCACTAACATATAGCACTGCGCAAAGTGTTCGATGCTTACCCCTCTCGCCAGATTGATCTTCAAGGTCATCTTGATTACCGGCAATGCCTACTATTCAACTTCGAAAGTATCGCTGATAACTACTCACAAACTCCCCCAGAAAAGTCAAGCCAACAGGGGTAACAATCATAATATACATCAGAATTGAAGACGAATTTCTCATATCCGAAATGTTTCAAGTGACCCAGCGACCAATCGTCTCGCCAAACCAACTGGTAGCCTTCTCTCGTCGCTTGGAACGGGCCTCATCCTGGCTCTTGATGAACGGCGTCGCCTCCTGCACGTACAGTTTCTGCTGCTCCAACTGTGCGTTGTGCGCCCGGATCTCCAGCTCTCGCTCGTGGGGCGTGAGCTTCTCCAGAGGCTTCGATGGCTTCAAGCCGACAGGGATGGCCTCCCCACCGGGGATCTCCAACGTCTTCTTGGTGGTAACGGCGGGACTATGCGGCGGCGGCGGCGGTGCTTGGGGGTTAAAGAGCGAGGTGAGAGGCGGAGGTTCCAGCCCAGCCTTCTGTGCTTCCTCCACCTGGGTTTCGTAGTCCAACATTTCGTGATAGAGTTTATCCGCGTGCATCTGAATCCGCTCCTCTCTCTCCGCGTCCCACTCGAAGGAGGATGCGTAGCCCAAGGCCTGGAGGAATTTCTGAGACCCCCAAAGCAGTTAGCATCTTACGTATCAAAGGGAGATTTGTCCACCCGCGGACGTACAGCCTGGGTGGTAAAACAACGAGAAAACTTAGAGTTCTCTTCTGAGCACATGGTCGCACGGGCTTTCAGTTGCTTCTGCCAGTTGCCGGTGCGGAAGCAATTGGCCCAGTCCTCCTGTTCCAACGCACAGTTCTCCATCGCCGCCCGGTGCACGGTATCACCGCGCTGTTTGTACTTCTCGATCACCCGCTCTGCGGTTTTCATCTCGGATTGTTCCTTTTCCTGGGGTGGCTTGTAGGTCTTCCAGAGGTGGGCATAGCGGCCGTCGGGGAAGAGGGAGGCACTGGGGACTGAAGGTTCCGACGGCGTAGAAGCACTCTCCGACGATGGCGGTGGTACCGGTGTCTTCTCTACTGTCTTCGAAGGCTCGTGGACGGAAGGAAGCGCATTCGTGGGCACGTATTTCTTGGGGGCTTCATGTTCGAGGAAATCCCGCAGCTCCGGGTCAAGCTTTTTGACGGGGTCGTCTTGGTTCGAACCGCCCCAAAACCAACCCATGATGTGAAGTGTAAAGTGAGCGATTCAATGGGAGGAGATAGCCGCGAGTAAGCAAACGGGATTTGGGAGAAAGAAAGCCCTGCAAGCGCACGCTGCTTTTCGTAGTGTACACTGCAATATAGATTGACTGCGGAGAATGGCGCGAGATGCCCGAAACGAAAGGCAGGCGCCCTCCCTCAGTCTTCAACTTACCGGGCGCCAAACCGTATTGGGGAAAACGATTGTCAGGTTTCCGCCCGCCCTGCCATCATCTCCCCCAATCCAACTTCCGCTGCCCCCAAGCAGGAGGGATCCGAACCTCTTTTCACGTCCTTCCCCCCATCTTTTCTCGCGCGTCAAGTTGCGCGTCGAGTTCGGCCTGACGCCGCTTCTCCAACATGAATATCAGTATGATTATCTATTTTCGCACAGGTTCTTCGCGTACTCAGCTAATCTTTGGTAACGGTAGATCGAGAGGAGCGGCAGCAAATGCGGCAGCGCGGAGCAGCGTACGCGCATCCAAAACCCCCAGCATACCCCGCGTCGCCTTACCACTAGAATTTGAGTCGCTAATTGTTCCCAATCTCGAGCAGGTCACGTAAGACGAAAGAGATCAACTTTGGCTTTTCGTTTGGGCTAGCTCCTTCGCCGCCGGACGAAGCTGCTGATTCCGCGTCGCGCCCGGCCGATGTTGGAATCGATGGTGAACCTCCTGCCTTACCTCCACCGCCGCCGCCAACAACAACAACGACGACGACGACGACGACGACGACAGCGACAACAGTAGCAGCAGCAGCACCGCCAATTACTACAAATTATACAAGTATTGCAGATGAAGCTACGCAAAATGGCTTGCCGCCTGCGGCTGAGCCTTCGACTTCCCAGAACCAAGAACCCGCTCGACGGACGTCAGGAAGCCCGCGCACCAGATCCTCGCCCAGACTGTCTTCGCATAAGAGTCTATCGGATGATGCAACGGAAGCCGGTCCAAGTCGCAAGATCAGAAAACTTGGTGCGCAGCCACATGCACTGACGCGGTTTATACGATGCTGACCCTGTCCAAGATCACCCTAGGAGCTCCCCTAGGAGTTCAGCTGCTGCGCACAGCGCTGAGAACCCCCCTTCTCTCGCCAATGGGATCGCCCCGAATGATCCAGCTCAAACTGCTGAGGAGTTAACTGTTGCGACCGAGCCTGTCCCGGCCCCCGCTTCCGAAGCTTTGATCGAGAGACCAGCATCACCCGTTGCGCCGGCAGCAGTCTTTATAGCGCCCAATGACCTCGCGTCTCCGCAGGCTCCCCAGGAACAGGAGTCAGCGGCAGTGGCTACAGAGAAGCTGTCCTCGAGGCCTAAGTCAGCATCACCCAGAGCGAACGGAACACCCTCCCCGCCAGGTAAGAAGGCAAGAGGCAAGCGCAAGAGACAAGGCTCTCAGGAAAGTGAACGATCGTCGCCTACTACAACTAGTCCGAAGACGAGCGAAGAGCAGATCGAACAACCAGCAGAGCCCATGGATACATCGCTGGATGTACAACCTGAAACTACGGAACCACCAACGACAGTTGTGCCAGATACTGTTGAACTGTCAAACGACACAATTCTTCCAGATCTTCCTGAGTCGACCGAACCCGTTGAGCCTCAAACCGTCGCCGAGCCCCAATTGACCGCCCCATCCCAAGAAACAACCCAATCCCATGCCGCCACCGAACCTCAACCGATTACGAAGCAATCGAGACTACCCGTTCCTTCGCGAACCAAGCGATCGCGCGGCGAACGAGCTGCATCCGTCCAGCCACACACGACTACGGTCGAAGAGCCTCGAGTGGCGAGAGCAGGGTCCGCGGAAAGTGCGCCAGTTGAAGCTAAGGGAAATAAGAGAATCCGGACACGGGTGGATGGGGTCTCTGAGCGAGAAAATGATGCTTCCATCACCAACGGGGAGCCAGAGGGTCAGAGTATGGAGGTAGATGCTCCCCGAGGAGCAGAAGTGAGTGCTGCGGAGCGAAAGGGAGCCCGCAGAGGACGTCCACTACAGTCGGAGGTAGCAGAAACGAAACCGAAGCGCGCTGGTCGCCCCGGAAGAAAGGTTTCGCCCTCTCTCCAGGACGTGGTCGAGGAGGAGGAAGCTCCAGTCGAGGAGGCGCAGAAGGAGGTGCAGGAGCCGGAAGAGTCGGCGTCACAGCCCATGCCAAGAGGACGGAGACCCAAGGAATCTGAGCCACAGCCGGTGGAGCCCGAGCCAAGTCAGCTGGAGCCGGAGCCACAGGAGCAGGCCCTACCATCAGAGGCGCAGCCGAAGCGCAAAGGACGGCGACCCAAACAAGCAGAGCCGGAGCCTGTACATCCAGAGCCAGAGCAAGCGGAACCTGCGCTACAGCCACAAGACCATGAAGCAGAAGCGGAGACAGCATCTCGCTCGAAGCAAAGAGGACGGAGAGCTAAGCCAACGGAACCGGCACCAGGGACAGCAGCGGCTCCGGAACCAGCAATGCCTGATTCAAAGCACAGAGGGCGGAGAGCTAGGACTGCAGAGCCAGAGATTCCACAACCAGAGACAAAACCGGCGGAACAACCAGTGGACGAGCCAGAGCCAAGGTCAAGAGGGCGCAGGACAAGGACAGCTGAGCCGGAGACAGCACAAGCGGAGCCCGGCCCGGCAGATCAACAACCAGCCGAGGCAGAGCCCAGGCGCAGAGGGCGGAGAGCACGGACAGCTGAGCCGGATGAACCACAACCACAGCCAGATCCAGAGCCGGCCACGCAAGAATCAGTTGAGACAGCGCCGAAGCCCAGAGGACGGAAAGCGCGGACAGCCGGGCTGGAAGGTGCACAACCAGAGCCAGAGCCGGCCACGCACGAACCAGTTGAAACAGCGCCAAAGCCAAGAGGGCGGAAGGCGAGAGGAGCCAAGTCGATACCACCAAAGCCAGCAGAAGCTGTTCCGGAACCTGAGGTGGTCGAACCCGAGGTCGCACAGCCAGAACCAGAACCCGAGTCTTCGCAGGCACCCGCTGAACCCCGATCTCGCAAGCGTGGTCGTGGCGGCAGGCAGGCAGGAGAGAGTGCCGGGGTTAGCGCGACACGCAAGGCAGACAACGTTCCAGCAGAAGGCGAGGGCAGCGCAGAGCCTCCGACGCGGAGACGCAAGCCCAGACAACCTCGCGGAGAGACCGTGCCGGTCACTGTGTATCGTCTTGCGAACGTTGTTGCTCTCGGGGGCGATCCCACACTGTTGGAGTCGTCGGATGACGAGGGCGAGACCGCTGAGGCGTCGTCCGACCGGCAGCAGGCCAAGTTGCCAAGCCGAGGCGGCGTGAATGTGGCCGACGTACTGGGCCAGATCTGCCGCGAGACATTGGAAAAGACGCTGACGACGCTGACCAACGGCATCGACGGCGAAGGGAACGCCGCGCGGCGCGCCGAATGGACGCGCAAGAAGAAGGTGGTTGAGGCGTACGGCAGCGAACTGGAGGGCCGACTGCTCGAGCTGAGTGAGATGCTGGACGGCAACTTCGTGCTTGGGGTCAAGATGCGCAAAGCCAAGCGCGAGATGATGGAGTATCGGAGTCGACTGTACCAAGTGCGAAAGGAGCGAGAGGCGGTTGCGTTGCAAATGGACGCCGTCCGGAGAAAACATGCCGAAAATGAGTCTGCACGAAAGGTGAGTCTTTCTAGAGTTGAACAAAAACTATACTGAGAGCAGTCGGAGGCTAACATCAATCCCGTATAGGCGCGTTCGACCATCAACAACTCCCTCCACAGTCTCGACCTCGCGCTTGAGCGTCGTCAGACCCACCCGGCCGATCCTGAAGAGACCACTGATCTGGGGGGAATGGAGTTTCTGCTTCGCAACGTTGCGGAGACGGTCAGTTCCGCCGCCCCCGGCGGCCAGGGCGGGCTGCTGCATCAACTTCGCTCCTTCAACGCACAGCTCGAATCTACGGCACGGCGGCTGGAGAGTTGAGCGTGGAGCTTCCTCTCGACCCATTGTGTTGAGACTTCTGTCATTCTCGGTTTCTTTTTCGTTGCGTCACCACCTGAAATGCGAATTTCGTATCTTGCTCGTCTTGCTCTTTCTATCGATCCCGAATACCCACATGACACGAACACTGCGACAGGTAGTTTTTTTTTTTTTTAGGGTGGTTTGTTTTTCGAGGGTACCGGTAGCAGTTCCGTTGGATTATTTGATGATGAAATGGATACCTACCTGACCATGACCGTGACCATGTACTGTACGTACTGTACTACTAGACCTAGCTATTGGATAACAGCATATCACTATTTTGCATACGAGTCCGGAGTACAGCATAAATCAATATGAGTGACCTAGCCTCATCTTGGTATGTATATGTATACGTATACTACAGCGTAGTTAGTCTGTACAGTATCTGCAACAACTGAATCATGCAACGGTAACCCAAGTTGAACCCTACACCACGAAAAGAAGTATAGTGGCAAGCCGAGCCCGGAGGACTCGTCTCTCTCGCCGAACCAAACCCGCCGGCAGCCCGAAGCACGGGTACCAGGCAAGCAGGCAGACACCCCAGAAAATTCTTAGAAAGCATTCGAAACGTTCCTCCCCACCCCCCACGCCACCAGCCAATCAGCCAACCAGCCCTATTTGTCAGCCGCGGCGGAAAACAATTTCCCATGCCGAGGCCGAGGATTGTTATCTACACTAAGAACCAAGAAACAGAACTTTCTGCAGGGGTCCGCCACCCACGTTATTGTTATCGTCATTAAGCCTAGTCTTCAAGCCTAGTCTACAAGCCTAACATACGGAGTTAAGTATGGGTAGGAAAGGATGTAAGCTTATGGCATGGTCAGGGTCCAAGTAGCTAAGTTAGTGCTTACCAGGCCTGACTGCCGGGTTTCCCGCGTGCAGATTATGTAGACTATGCGGGATACTATCTAGATGTAATTTAGTAGGGTACATGGTTTAGTTTTAATGGTGACCTACGAGTATTTTGGATAGGTGCACCACAATCGACATATTCACTAATCAGAGTTAGTAATCACGCTCACTAACTAATTCACCATGGAAGGGGCTCTATGTCGTCAAGGGCAAGGGGCAACTGTAAGGAATTTGAGGAGAAGTTGAAGCCCCATCGATGCTTGGAAATCAACATGTGGGACATGGGCACTGGGCCCCACTTCCACCACTGTTCCCTCACCCCCATGGAAGATTCCATATTCCTATTCTGGATTGATTGAGGAACGGTATAAAGGTGCTGGTTCTTCCTCCGTTCTCTGGATTCTTTCCTCAGAAAAAAAAAAGTTATAATTGATCGAATCGCATTGTTGCAACACATTTATCTGAACTCTATACTATACTCCTCCCCTCCCACCACAAACAAAATGACCACGAAACTCTTCCAACCCCTCCAGGTGGGCAACATGCACCTCGCCCACCGCCTGGCCATGGCCCCGATGACGCGCTTCCGCGCCGACGACGCCCACGCGCCCATGGATATGGTGGCTGAGCACTACGCCCAGCGCGCCGCCGTCCCCGGCACGCTGCTGATCACCGAAGCGACCCTGATCTCGCCGCGCGCCGGTAGCTACCGCAACGTGCCCGGCATCTACACGGAGGCGCAGATCGCACAGTGGCGCAAGGTGACAGACGCCGTGCACGCGCGCGGCTCGTACATCTACATGCAGCTGTGGGCGCTGGGCCGCGTGGCCGACCCGGCCGCGCTGAAGGAGGACACCCAGGGGAAGGTCGACGAGGTGGTGTCGGCAAGCGCCATCCCGGCTGGGCCGGAGGCGCCGACGCCGCGGGCGCTGACCGAGGAGGAGATCCACGCCTTCATCGGGGACTACGCGCAGGCGGCCAAGAACGCCATCGCGGCGGGCTTCGACGGCGTCGAGATCCACGGCGCCAACGGGTACCTGATCGACCAGTTCAACCAGGACACGGCCAACCAGCGCACCGACGCCTGGGGCGGCAGCGTGGAGAACCGCGCGCGGTTCGCGCTCGAGGTAATCAAGGCCGTCGTCGAGGCCGTCGGCGCCGAGCGCACCGCCATCCGCTACTCGCCCTTCAGCACCTTCCAGGGCATGCGCATGCAGGACCCCAAGCCCCAGTTCAGCTACCTCGCCGAGAAGACGGCCGCGTTCAAGCTGAGCTACGTCCATGTCGTGGAGCCGCGCATCCAGGGCAACACCGAGGGCGAGTGCGGCAACGAGGATAGCCTGGATTTCTTCTTCCGCGCCTACGGCCATGCCGGCCCCGTCATCACGGCCGGCGGCTTTGATGCGGAGTCGGCCAAGAAGGCCGTCGACGTCGACTACAAGGACTATGATGTCGTCGTCGGCATTGGCCGCCCCTGGACCGCCAACCCCGAGCTGCCCTTCAAGATCCAGCGCGGCATTCCCCTCCGCCCCTACCAGCGCGAGGTCTTCTATCTCCCCAAGGATCCCAAGGGTTACAACGACTATGAGTACAGCGAGGAGTTCAAGGCTGCCAATGTCGCCAAGGTCGCTGCTTAGGGTGTTGTGCGGGCGTGATGTATTGTACATATAGCGTTTTTTTTCTTTGTTCTACTAGGCGTTGGCAGGATGTTTTGCATAGCATAGATCGCATAGACTTGCTTGTCCACTTAATGTGATATCAATTACATCTCATATCTCATGATTTAGCCCAAAGTGTCTTACATTTTGATAAACTAAACTTTAATGCTTGTACTACTTGCATATCAGTCAACTGATGCACCGACTTTCCGGGGTAGCGAAGAAACTCACCCTGAACTCCAGATTCTCCCTGTCTGTCAAGTCGAGGAACTCGGAATTCTCCTGATGTTGCTCACCGCGGCCATTCTCCTCCCTGCGGCGGTTCTCGCAGATGTAATAGCACTTGAGAAGCCCCGTGAACAAGATCGCCACCGAGACGGTAGCCACAATGGCGACCTTGGCGGGCATGTACTCCGGCTCGTCCTGCGTGCGGAAGGACAGTGGACCCAGGATATTGCCGAGACAGAACGACATGAGCACGATCGCATTCATCGTCACCTTCTTGGTATGCCCGGCTACATTGGCTCCCGTGATCGAGTACATCAGGGGCAGGGCGGATCCGACGCAGTTGGTGAGGTAGTTGCCCGCCAGCATCGCGCCTTTGTTGTCGCTCGGTGCGAAGGCCATCAGACAGCCGCCCAGAAGACCGCAGCCCAGAATGCCCAGAACGCAGAGACATCGCTGGTCGAAGCGCCCGGCCAGGTAGGTTCCTGAGAGGATACTGATTACGCTGACCACGCCGCCGGGGATGGTGAGCAACTCGGTCTCCTTGGTGGTGAAGCCAAAGTTCTTGATGATCAGCGCCGAGAAGCTGCTGATGGCGGCATTGCTGATGTTGCTCGCTGAAACGATGATAGCGATCAGGTAGGCTTGCGGATCGTTGAACACCTCGAGGAACTGGTTCCACTTGAATTGTTTGTTCTCGATGCCGGTGCGGTTCTCGCGGAGGCGCTCGATGGCCATTATCTTCTCGTGGCTGAGTCGGGAGGTCATAGGGTTGTCCGGGAAGATGAAAATGACTGTGACTCCAACAGCGATGGTCAACAGTCCGAAGATCAGGAACATGATCTGCCACGAGTAGAACTCATCGGCCGTGTAGAAGAGCAGACCGTACGCAACCAAGGCTCCGACAATCGTTGCTGTGCCTGTGCCCAAGTACCACAGGCCCATACGTTTTGGTTGTTCTAGGACTCGATCAGTACATATGGACCAAAGATTGACCGAGATCTCTACCATTTCTTCGATACCACATGGAAGTGATCAATATCAAACTAGTATGATCAGCTCGGTAGGTTCCAACTTTGGAGGCGGTCATACGCAGGTGCTACAGCGCTCTCAAAACATCCTAGCAGCACGCGGAGGACAACAAGCCCGACGAAATTCTTTGCGACGCAATTCAGAGTGGTCAACAGACCCCAGAGAGTGACTGGGCTAATCAGCATGGTTCGCAACTCAAGCCGCGCTACCTACCATTCAGTCCCAAGTACTTCGCCGTTGGCAGACGCTGCATCAGATACCCGGTCGGGAGTTCGAAGAAAAGGTATGACGCGTAGAATACCAGAGCCAAGTGAGAGAACTGGTCCGTCCGCATCCCCGTGTCCTCCAGCAGACCCATCACCGACGCATAGTTGACTAGTCGCTCGGTCAGGCAACAGTTACAGTGGCGGCATGACAAGCAGAGACGGACTTAGGAGCTTATCTTGGTACTGAAGGAAATAGATTGCCCACATGAGAGGCACAATCATGCGATCAATCTTCCGAACAAGCTGTTTCTCTTCTACCTCGGAGAACGTCGCTACTTCTCCTGTTTGGAGATACTCCAATGCTGCATCAGCTTGACGGGAATGAATATGGCGGTCATTCTTTGCCGTAGTGACGATTGACTTTTCGGCGTCCACGTTTCCCATCTTGATCCAAGTTCAGTGCTTTCGAGCTGCAGGAACGATGTTTTTATCAGGGTAGGGATTGCCCATCTTGCTGCTTTTATAACAGTCTGCTCTCTCAACCGTGTGACCTTATCAAGCCAAGGATGATAGCACGCATAGCTGGAGCTCCTGAAGCATTTCTCAGCATGTAGTCATATCGTTGGTGGCATAGCATGTAGCAGTGGCATGCTCCAGTCGAGCGACGGCGATTTGGCAGAGATAACCCCCATTGTTGGACATGTAGTTCTCAACACCTCACACTTGAGGCAAAGCACCACTCGAGGTAAGCAGGTCATGATGAGAGAAGATTGATAACATAGTATGCATTGAAAGCTGCATTATCTCGCCAATATGCCCCAGAGTAGAAGGTGGTATGGAGAGATGTCACTGCGGCATATCAAGAGCCGATGTCACTTATCAACCCCGCACGAGGGGCTGTGTTGTACTGCATTAGTGTCTATGTCACTTGCGTGTTATCAGTGAACAACTGAGCAGATAGCATCTTAGCAGATTTGCCGTGGATATCGTCTTGCGACATTGAAAGATAAGTCCCCGATGTCTAGACTTGAAGCTTGTAAAGACCAGACGCATGTCTGGACAGGCCAATATTCAGAGCATGAGGGTTTCCACGGCGTGGATGACTGAGAAGCTTGATAATAACAGCCAACGAAGAGCCAGTGAAAATGGTTGTGTACTGG